AGGAAAGGAAGGAAGGAGAGAAGAAAGGAAAGAAGGAAGGAAGGAAGGAAGGAGAGGGATGGAGGAAAAGAAGGAAGGAGAGGGAGGGACGAAAGGAAGGAAGGAGAGGGAGGGAGGAAAGGAAGGAAGGAGAGGGAGGGAGGGAGGGAGGGAAGGAAGGAAGGAAGGAAGGAAGGAAGGAAGAAAAAAGGAAGGAAGGAAGGAGAGGGAGGGAAGGAAGGAAGGAGAGGGATGGAGGAAAAGAAGGAAGGAGAGGGAGGGAGGAAAGGAAGGAAGGAGAGGGAGGGAAGGAAAGAAGGAAGGAAGGAAGGAAGGAAAGAAAGAAGAAAGAAAGAAAGAAAGAAAGAAAGAAAGAAAGAAAGAAAGAAAGAAAGAAAGAAAAGAAAGAAAGAAAGAAAGAAAGGAGCAAGAGGGGAGTGCCAAGCTAGACAACTTGAATCCCTCTTGGGCTTTTGACACACACACACACACACACCCCGATGCAGCCAGCCCCATTTCAACGACTCCCGTCTTTCGAGGAGGTCAGGCCGGATGGGTGGGCGGCTGCCGCCATTTTGCACCGAAGACCCTCTGGCCCCTCACTTCCAACTTACTCGCTCCACCGTTTAATGATGCCGGTGTTCTTCTTGGCCTTCAGCGTGTTGCTGGCTGATTCCGACAAGGGTTCGATCTCACACGAAAGGCTGTAGCTGAGAGCAAAGGGAGGGCTGTGAGCATTTGGCCCCAATTGTCGGAGATTTGGTCTGGTGGGTTAAGGCATCAGGCTGGAAAGCAGCAGACGCCGAGTTCTAGTCCCGCCTTAGGCATGAAAGCCGGCTGGGTGACATTGGGCCAATCACCAGGAGATTGGGAGTTCTAGTCCCATCTTAGACATTAAAGCTGGTTGGGTGACTTTGGGCCAATCACCAGGAGACTGGGAGATCTAGTCCTGCCTTAGGCACGAAAGCCGGCTGGGTGACTTTGGGCCAATCACCAGGAGACGGTGAGTTCTAGTCCCACCTTAAGTATGAAAGCCAGCTAAGTGATTTTGGGTCAATCACCAGGAGACGGTGAGTTCTAGTCCCGCCTTAGGCATGAAAGCCAGCTAAGTGATTTTGGGTCAATCACCAGGAGACGGTGAGTTCTAGTCCCGCCTTAGGAACGAAAGCCAGCTGGGTGACTTTGGGCCAGTCTCTCTCCCTCAGCCCAACCCATCTCATAAGTGTTGTTGTTATGGGGAAAATAGAGAGGGGGGGAAAGGTGTGTTGCATCTGTTTGCAGCCTTATTTGCAAAAACCATCCGCCGGCATGCAAACAAAGAAACAAATATTTCTTGGCTTTACGGTCCTCGTGAACAAGAAATGGAGGGGGAGGACGGGGGAGGGGGGGGGAACGAACCCAGAATAATCTTCCTTTGCAGCCCCCACTGACCTCTCGGCTTCGCTAAGCCGTTCCACCCCGTGAAACCAAGACCCAAACCGCTCGTCCTTCTTGAAGCTGTAATTATTGCAAGCCGACTGAAGCAACTTGATCTGGGCGATGACTTCGAACTCCTGCAAGGAAGAAGTGTGTGTGTGTGTTTACGTTTAGACAACACAAGAAGGGGGGGGGGAGAAAAAAAACCCTCCCAGAAACGTGACTTTAAAAGCAGCGGCTGCAGCAAAGCGAGGAGCGTGGATTTAACCAAACTCTCTGAGTTTGGTTGTCTGAGATGGTATAGGTTCTCCTGCTTAAGCGGGGGGTGGGGGTGGACTAGAAGACCTCTAAGGTCCCTTCCAGCCCTATGCTCTACGTTCTATGTTCTGATAAACTTATAATAGCACTGAATGCTAGTATAGTTACTATGGTAACCAAATGGCCATGATGGGGCCAATCTGCCAGAAAGACCTCCTCTAGTTTTAAGGTCACTGGCCCCCATCCAGTGTTAACTACCAGTAAAGCATCTAGTTGTGGATAAATATCTAATTGTGGATAAATATTGTGGTTTGAGGTGGGAACGGGCTTCCTTTCCCACTAGGCCTATATAGTGATACCTGGACACTCAGCGCTAATTGGTTCAGGGAGGGGCAATAAATACAAAAAATGATGAGTACCAAACAAATTTTTCCCACAGGGAATAATGTAGTGAGCCACAAGGCAGCCGACAACGACAAGAAGCAACGGAGGGAAACTCATCAAGGAGAGAAGCAACCTGGAACTAAGGAGAAACTTCCTGACGGTTAGAACAATTAAGCAGTGGAACATCTGGCCACCAGAAGTTGTGGATGCTCCAACACTGGAAGTTTTTAAGAAGACACTGGACAGCCATTTGTCTGAAATGGTATAGGGTTTCCTGCCTGAGCAGGGGGTTGGACTAGATGATCTCCAAGGTCCCTTCCAACTACTACTACTCTCGAAAAGGTTTTCGTGTGTGAAAATGCCGGCCAGTCAACCAGGACCTCTTCCGGGTGATTCCAGATTTCCAAGTTTTCCTCCCACACGTCCACGTTTGAGCCGTGGCCTCCCCTTTTCTGAAGATAATAAGGTAGTTCTCGGCTTATAGCTATTCGTTTAGTGGCCGTTCAAATTGCAACGGCATTGACAAAAAGAAACCTACGGGCGTTTTTTCCCACTTATGACTGTTGCGGCCTCCCCACGGTCAAGGGATCAAAATTTGGCAACTGGCTCCTATATACGACGGTCGCAGTGTCCTGGGGTCCCCGTTTACGACCTTCCAGCAAGCAAAATCAATGGGACAGACAGGTTCACTTAACAATTAACAGTGATCCACTTAAGAACGGTGGCGAGAAAGGTCGCAACCACCCAACTGTCTCACTTGGCCACAGAAACTTTGAGCTCAACTGCAGTCTTCAGTTGAGGATTAACTGCAGTGGCCCTTAAGTCTGGACAGTGGTAACAGCCACAACCACAATCACGCAGGGCTCTCACCTTCCTCCTTTTCTCAAAGTTGATCAGGCCTCCCTAAAAAAAAAAAAAGAAAAATAAATAAATCCTTAATATCCCAACTCAGCCTGGTTTTCAATTTCTAAACATCCAAGAGATGAGAAAGGTTTTTTTTTTTAAAAAAACACACATGTTCTGTAGCAAAGCAGAATCAACAACCGTACCGAGGATCGTGATGTATTTATTTGCATCCGGAGGCTAGATTTTTTTTTCTTCTTAAGGGATTCAAGAGGAATAAAATACATTTAAAAAGACAAGGAGGCAGATGGGATACGGCTGTAATGCCGGATATAAAACGATTGAAAAGTCTTAAGCAATAAGGCAGTAACAGATCCCAGATCCCAGGAGCGATCTTCGATTGCTCAGCTTGCAGGGAACAAAATGGGTGGACGTAGCTCTGGATGAAAAAGGGAGTTATCCATCGAAGAAATGTTCCTTTGTTGTTTTTCACGAATGAAGGCAAATATACGAGTCCCGGGATAATGTTGCAGGATCCAATCTGGGTCGGTCAGCGTTATCAGAAGTTTTTGTCTTCCGAGCTTTCGGATTTTTGGAGCGAGGGAGGACGCTAACCACCCAAATTGCGAGAACACAAGCGAGGAGACCCAAACTCACTGGTAGCCTCACATCGCAACGAACAAGGAAACACATTCAATTTCGCAGCAAACTAAGATTGTGGGCGGAGCAGGTACAAAAACAGCCTGGGAAATGATTGAAGCCTGGGGAATGAGCCCCTTGTCAATCAACAGAAGCAAACAACAGCCAACGACTTAACAGCCGTCCATCCACACCCCAATCAACAACTAAAGACCACACACACACACAAATTCCATGCACAGAATAGCTCAAAGAACACATTCTGGTGAGAGAGAGAGCTTATCCGAGGCTGGAAGGCAATTTTATTTTTTATCGATTGATGCCACGCCACGAAGAGAGAACGACTCTCGTGCTTTTCGTTATGCTGCCCAAGAGACCCCAGTGAAATAAAAAGTTAATATTGCTAAAAATGGAAGCAAAGAAAATCAGATGTCCACCAGGGGGCGCCGTGCTCTCTTTTGGCCTCAATCTGGGCGGAGCAATCTCCCTAACTAACCCACAAACCATGTTTTGTGCTGGTTTTGCAAAACCAAAAAAACCCCCAAAACACAACGACCTCCCCTTCACCCGAAGCATCAAATTTAAAAACAACAACAACAACAACAACATAAAGTCGGAGGACGGAGGCGACAAAAAACGCCAACATTAAATTGTGGCTTGCAATAAAAAGGGAGAAGGAGAAAGAGGAGGAGGAGGAGGAGGAGGAGGAGGAGGAGGAGGAGGAGAACCTACGTCTAAATAATCCTTCATGGCCGTGTCCAGCATCACCAGGTCGGTCAGAAAGGTGCCCAGGTAAGGGATGGTGCCTTGCATTACACCCTGGAATGAAAAAAATTAAAATTAGGAATATGAAAGGAGGCAGAGAAGCAGGAGAAAAGGATGTCTAGGGAGATTCTCAGTCATCCAGGTGAGGGTGCCACTCCCTCCTAGCACTGGTGATGTTACCTAGCTGGGTCATGAAACGTCTGCAAGAAAACCACCCCAAGGACCCCACAGTTGAACCCTGAGCAACAAAGATCCTCTGTTTAATATTAAAGAAAGGTGCCCCAATTTTTCTCCTCTTAGTCTCCTCCTCCTCCTCCTTCTGGATCCCCAGCACCATCTCATCCATCCTGGGAGCCTGGCTCGGCCAATACTTTTTGTTTTGTTACACTGACACACCCTCACCAATTCTCGTTGCTGCTGCTGGCGCTTCTGAGCTCTTTTGGGGTTGATTTCCAGCGTGGCAAACTTGGAGGTCCCTTCCTGGATGTTCAGGAAACAGAAAGGGAAAGAAGAAGAAGCAAAGATGAGTTCAACCTGTTTTGAATAAAAAGTCGAAGGCAAAACCATTAACTAGGTTAATAGATTGAGGGGGTCGAGCTGTTCCCCAAAGCACCTGAAGGCAGGACAAGAAGCAACGGATGGAAACTAACCAAGGAGAGAAGCAACCTGGAACTAAGGAGGAATTTCCTGACAGTGAGAACAATTAATCAGTGGGTGCTCCCTCACTGGAAGTTTTAAAGATGAGACTGGACAGCCGTTTGTCTGGAATGGGGTAGGGTCTCCTGCTTGAGCAGGGGGGTTGGACTAGGTCCCTTCCAGCTCTGGTTATTCTGCACGCCGAAATCTAGAGGCAGAATCTTAAACACACTTGGCAACCCTCCAGGCGTGTGGGCTCCGGAATGCTGAGAAATCTGGAAGACTTGAGTCCGGCACATCTGGAAAGGCCGGCCTCTCCCATTTCAAACAGAGGCCCAAACCTTTCGCAGCCGGCCCACAAAGGGGGAAAAATCTTCAAAGCGGATCCAAATAGAATCCTGCAGCTTTCTCGTTTTGGCCGTGCCAAATCAGAAAGCCGGGACACCTGTTCTTCCAAAGCAGCTCTCTCTTTTTTGAAAATTGCACGACGCAATTTTGCTGAGACTCTAGAAAGAGTACAGAGAAGAGCAACAAAGATGATTAGGGGACTGGAGGCTAAAACATATAAGGAACGGTGGCTGGAATTGGGGATGTCTAGTTTAACGAAGAGAAGGACCAGGGGGGACAGGATAGCAGTGTTCCAATATCTCAGGGGCTGCCCCAAAGAAGAGGGAGTCAAGCTCTTCTCCAAAGCCCCTGAAGGCAGGACAAGAAGCAACGGGTGGAAACTAATCAAGGAGAGAAGCAACCTAGAACTAAGGAGAAACTTCCTGACAGTCAGAACAATTAACCAGTGGAACAACCTGCCTCCAGAAGCGGTGAATGCTCCAACATTGGAAGTTTTTAAGAAGAGACTGGACGGCCATTTGTCTGAAATGGTATAAGGTTTCCTGCCTGAGCAGGGGGTTGGACTAGATGACCTCCAAGGTCCCTTCCAACTTTTTTATTATTATTATTATTATTATTATTATTATTATTATTATTATTATTATTATTATTATTATTATTATTATTATTATTATTATTATTATTATTATTATTATATAACTGAGAGTCAGGGAAGGGGGTCCCTCCCTTGCGTGGCTTCGATGCAACCCCCCTCCTCGACTTTTGGACAGCCTGAGTGGCAGGCAGCTGCTTCATTTACACGGGGAAGTCCTCGCAAGTCTGAAAAAGGGTCCTTTTTTTTCCCCAGCGGCATTGTAACTTCGGTCACTAAATGAACTGTTGTAAGTGGAGGATAAAAGTTTTGCCTCTCGCCAGGCTGGGAGGCCAACGTGAGCAGCTAATCCGCTCGTCATCCTGAGCTGTCTTTGCTCCCAGAAAGAGATAAGAGGCAGGGAAGCCCAGAGGTGAGACGTCAAATGTTTTTCTGGGCTTTCTTATCTTCCGCCCCCACCTAGCAGGGGATTCCTCGGCTGCCAACTTTGGGAGTTTCCTCTGAAATTAAGCAGACAGCCCAGATACTGGCTGCAAGCAGCAGCTCCTTCCTTCTGCTCCACGCTTGCTTTCAAGAGTAAAGAGCGAGCAAAGAACACTTGAGCAACTAGCAAACTTCTTCGCCAGCCTTCCACGCCCCATATTACAACTCGGCCCCCCGTCCGTCCCTTGAGAGTCGAGCTTTTAAAATAGGAAGGAGTCCAGCCATTGTGGCTTTTAGCACTCCTGCTGAACCCACACACACACACACACACACACACGAATATTATTTGTTATGCTCTCGTTCAAAGTTTCCTCCCTTCTCCCAGGCGGGCTCAGGCCGATGAGTCACCGGCATGTTTATATATTTGGAAGGCATTTGGGCTGCAGCACGTTCCTGCGAGAGAGCGGAGTCTTTACTTCTTGCAGGACAGGGGAAAAAAAAGTGCCTTTTGGGTGCCCCCACCCCACCCCAACCCTCCCTCTGAGAATGCAGAGGCTGTTTCACGTTGCAGTTCTTCCCACCTGGGAGAAGGCGAGGAGGATGCTTCCCAACCGGCACGTCCAAGAGACATGTTTGCTGTGGGTTTTCTGCAGGCGGGGTTTAAATGTTGGCGGCTTATGTATTGATCGGATTGATAAGGCAGCCCGACTCCATAGGAACTTTGCCCAGAGGGGAATAAGGGAGGCGTTGTGGGAAAAGACAAATGAAGCCCCAAGCATCCAGAGGAGTGAATGGAAGGAAGGAAAATTTCAAGGAGGGAGGGAGGGAGGGAGGGAGGGAGGGAGGGAGGAAGGAAGGAAGGAAGGAAGGAAGGAAGGAAGGAAGGAAGGAAGGAAGGAAGGAAGGAAGGAAGGAAGGAAGGAAGGGACTCCAAGAGTGAGTAGGAAAGAGGGATGGAGGGAGGGGAGCGAGAAAGGATATCTTCCTTCCCTCCTTTTCTCACTTCTTTCTTTCTTCCTCCCTCTCTCATTCCCTCTCAAAATTCCTTCCTTCCTTTGCATTCATACTTGAAATTTCCTTCCCGCCCTCTTTCAAGACAGTGAGAAAAAAAGAAAGAAAGAAAGAAAGAAAGAAAGAAAGAAAGAAAGAAAATGTCCAAAAGTGAATGGGGGGAGGGAAGGGAGGGAGGGAGGGAGGAAAGGGAGGGAGGGAGGGAGGGAGGAAGGAAGGAAAGGAGGGAGGGAGGGAAGGAAGGAGGAAGGAAGGAAGGAAGAAAGGAGGGAAGGAAGGAAGGAAAAGGAAGGAAGGAAGGAAGGAAGAATGGAAGAAAGGAAGAAAGGAAGAAAGGAAGAAAGGAAGAAAGGAAATTGAATAAAACCTAAAACCTAAACCTAAAGGAGGGAGGGAGGGAGGAATGAATTCTGGGATCAATGGAGGAAGGAAGCCCATCCATTCTAAAAATAATAAAACCAACAGCCACCGTCCCGTCTAACTCAAGACCTCAGGAAAAACCAGATTTTAACTGCCCTGTCACACCCCATCAGGGTGGGTACCAGAAAAGTTTTAAGAGGAACATTCCCAAGAGGAAAGGAGGCCACAAAGGAGGCCAAATTGCTCCCCCCCCCAAAAAAAATAAGAGAGCTGAAGGACCATAGACATTGAAGGAAACAGAGAAGAAGTTCCTGTTCTGTTTATTACGGGCCCTTCCTGACTTCTCTCCCAGTCTCCAGCCAAGCAGGGGTGGGGGGATACCCTTTTATTTGCCCCCCCAGCAAACAGCCACTTCTCCCCCTTACCTTAATAAGCAGCTCCCGACTTAAGGAGTGGTTGTTCTCATCCGAGAAGATTTCGGATAACTCATGAAACATGCGGCAGCTCTCCCTGTAAATGAAGGAACAAAAAAAACCCCAAAATCCAGTGTGAAAAATATCCTCGGCCACGTCTTCATTCCATCCAGCTCTCTCTCTTTCCCTCGAATTCGTTTAGCAGCCGTTCAAAGTTACAACGGCACTGAAAAAAAGGGACTTGGGACCCATTTTCACGCTTGCGACCGTCACGGCGTCCCCCAGGGTCACGCGATCAAAATTCAGACCGTGTGACTTAACAACTGCAGCAATTGACTTAACCAGTGTGGCCAAAAAGGTCTTAAAATGGGGTAAAACCCACTTAGCAACGGACATTTTGGACTCATAAGTCAAAGACTGTCTGTATAGATTTGCTGGCTGGACTGAGATCTGACTGCGGTTAAAACTCAACCAACCAACAACATCATCATCATCCCTGGCCTGAAACAAAATTAAGGAATAGTTACGAAGTTCAGGAGCATCAGAGTCTTGTAAAAAACATCTGCAAATATGCAAACGTAACTATCTTTTTTTCCGTAAGCAGAGCTACGATTGCAGCTGAAAATACAGAGAACCCTAAATTGCAAAAAAAATAAAAATAAAAAATGAATAGAAGGCAAATGTTTTGGTGGGCTGGATATATTGAAACATTTAACTGCAAAAGTCAATGTTTTTTTAAAAAACAAATGTTGATTTCTCTTTTGCAATTAAATGTTTCAATCTCCAGCCCACCAAAGACTTTGGAAACATTGTCTCAGGAAAAGGATTTTAATTTTGACAAATAACTCTGCGGGCTTCCCCCGTGTTGAGACTGGTTAGCTTTGTTTCCAAAACATTTGCTGTAGGTGAAAGTCAGCGCAGGGAGAGATTCAGTCCTTTTCACATGCTTACAATTGATCTGAACTAAAATCTCCATTAAAATTAGAGTTTCCATCCTGTTTGAAATTCCACTTGGCTGCCAAGCCAGCAAGTGGATAAGAAAGGAAGTTTTCGGGGAACCTAAATGCAATTTTCCTTTTATACTCTTCGGTGCAGTTTTCATTTATTTACTTGTCCGTTCAGTGGTTCGTTCGTTCATTCTAAACGGAGACGGTTAAAGAAGCCTCGGTGGGATCTTCCTGCTAATTCAAACCAGTTCTGAAAATGTCAACATTAAACCAGCATTTTTTTCCCCCCTCCTCTGACTCACCGCGACACCTCGTCCCACGTCTTTTTCAGCCGGTGAACCGCGTTGCACTGGAGAGCAGAAAGGATGGCTCGGAGAGAGGAGAAATTCTTGAGGATGCGGCATTCCTGACGAAGGGAGAAAGACAGGTGTCAACAGCTGCTCAGCTCTCTCCTTGTGCTGTAAGTAAAACTCTTCTCTGTGTCTCTAATCTAACTTCTCTGTGCTCTTTATCATCTGTTTTCTCTATCTATAATCTTGATCTACCTGTTTACCTACCCACCTGTCTTTTCTTTGTTCCTTTATCATCTGTCTACATCTATCTTCTCTATAATCTTTCTCATATCTCTAATCCGTCTTCTCTATCTCTAATCTTTCTCTCTCTTTCCCTCCCTCCCTTTCCTTCCCTATCACTTTTTTTCCTATCATCTGTATCTGTCTTCTCTATAATATTTCTCTATATCTCTAATCCATCTTCTCTATCTATACTTTCTTTTTCTCTCCCTCCATTCCTTCCTTCCTTGCTCCCTCCCTCCCTTTCTTCCTTCCCTTCCCTATCATTTTTCTTCCTTTCTTCTATCATCTGATTATATCTGTCTTCTCTATAATCTTTCTCTGTATGTCTAATCCATCTTCTCTATATATATTTTTTGCCTCCCTCCATTCCTTCCTTCCTACTTTTTCCCTTCCTTCCTTCCTTCCTTCCTTCCTTCCTTCCTTCCTTCCTTCCTTTCCTTTCTTTCTTTCCTTCCTTCCTTTCCTTCCTTCCTTCCTTCCTTCCTTCCTTCCTTCCTCTCTCCCTCTCCCTCCCTTCCTTCCTTCCTTCCTTCCTTCCTTCCTTCCTTCCTTTCCTTCCTTCCTTCCTTCCTTCCTTCCTTCCTTTCTCCCTCTCTCCCTCCCTCTGTCCAATCCATCTATTCATTCCTTTCTTTCATCCATCTTTTTACCACTTCTATCCACCCATCATCTATCTCCATCTATCCATCTGGATTTTCCACGTTCAGTTCTGACCCCTGCACAGCTATTAATTGTTTTTGGGGTTGTTGTTTTTTTAAAGAGCTAAGCCGATCGGATCCTTCACGTACCCGGGCGACTTCGACCCATCGCTCCACCACTCTGGCCCTCAGCTGGGGCTTCAGCGTCCTGTCCCCGAGGCAGGTGGCAATGACGCAGTTGGTGACCCTGTTGAACTGGGAGACGGTGGCCCGGATGCTGGGTGCCAGGTGTTCCTTCCCTTTCTTGTCCCGCTGAGACCAGATGCAACCGAGGCAGTGATAAGGCACCACTTTCTTGAAGAGCTCCTGGGTTGGAAAAGGTTAGGTGTCATGTGTCTGATTAACGAAACGCTTAAAAGGACTTTCAGGCATATTTTTTCCTAAAAGCATTTATTAAGGTTACAGAGACGTCAGTACGGCATGGTGAAAATGCTTAGATCTGGATTCTTTTCCATTATACATACATTCTAAGCATTTTTCCCCGCCCCTATTTTGGGGTCATGGTTCACATCTTCCAATTAACTTGGAAGATGTGATTTACTTGCGGTTTCTTTTTCCCCCCAGGCTTTCACTGTTGCCTGATTTAACTATAAAAATACCAGACAGTTCTGCATATTGTCAAAGCAAGAATATACAGTATTTGCAGCGTTGACATTAGGGGGATCAGCTCAGAGGAGACGGGCGGGAAGCCGACGGAAGGGCCAGCAGGCCTAGTGAGACTTACAGCATCCATGAGGGTGAACTGCTCAGCCGCCATCTCTGGAGGAAAGGAGAGGAACTCTGACTTGCCTTCGCTCAGTCCATTTTCCTGCTCTAACCTCAGAGGGCAAGTGGGATGATCCACAGCTGGAAGGGAGGAAAGCCAGGCATTAAGCAATGCCCGTTCTCACAACCGTCTTAAACCTTTTCTAGGTTCAGGCACGGGAGATGGCAAAGCAAACCAGGTTGGGTTCATACAGCTGTAGGAAAACTAACTCAGGTTTAGGAGGACCCAGGATTTGCTAACCAAGCACGACAGCTACTTCGTCCCTTTCTTCTCCTTTTTTTTTGACTTTTCAACCAACGTTCCGAGTCGAGAACAGGCAGCCTGAAGGCGGGGTATCCGAGGGGTACGGGGAGCAGCCCACTCACTCACCTTCCGTTTCGGCCTCGGCACGCTCCTGTTGCTGGAACTGGCTGAAGAGGATTCGCGCTCGCCTCTCCAAATCCGAGCCGGGGATATTAAGCCGGACGTAAATGATCAGCTGCTTAAGGCAGGCGTAGTCCGGAGGCTTCCGGAAGTCTTCGGAGTATTGATCAAGCCAGGCTCCCAGGATGGAGGAGATGGTGCTGGGGGGGGTCAAGAGAGAGGAGGAGGAGACTAAGAGGAGAAAACTCAGGACCCCTTTCTTTATTAAACAGAGGATATTTGTTGCTCAGGGGTCCTTGGTGCTCTCTGAGCTGGGGTGCTTTTCTTGCAGACGTTTCGTGACCCCACTAGGTAACATCATCAGTGCTAGAGGGAAGTAGGGGCTGGCTATATAGGGTTAACCATATTTTCACCTGGGAAATTTGGAGTGTCGTAGACCAAGCTAAGTGCAAAGGTGCTAGGGCATTCCTGGAAGTTTGGCACTCGGACAAAATCAGCCATCCACCAACACACAAACAACGTCTACACGCCATTGAGAAGAGACAATCAACAAGCCAAAAAGGAAACAAAAGGACTAAAACATGCAGAAAAGCAGAGATCGACACTAGGATTAATACCAGACAAACGATCAAGCGTCATTTTTTTTTTTTTTTGCAGGGGAGGGGGTTTAGAAAAAATCTTGATGGCTAGAAACTTGAAAGAGAGGCAAATGCGAACTGGCGCTTACTTTTTCAACTCCAGCTTCTCGTCCACCGTGTGCCTGGGGTGGTCTCCGTTGGCTTGGAGGTTGAACTTCCCATACCTGTAGAGAAAAAAAGGAGAACAGGATGTGCAGGCAAAACTTTATTTATTTTTTTAACAGCACACAGGAGCTTTTTGTTACGTCAGTGAAGTTTCCTGCTGCTTTATATGTGCACCCCTGGGAGATAAGCTTGGGCTGAGAGGTGGGGACTGGGCCAGATTGGGAAGGGGTTAAGATCCGACACCAGAAGTAAGCAAACATTTGGGGGGGGGGCCTGGAGCTAAAGCAATAACCAGTCGGACAAGTTTGGGGATAAACTGTTTCGGAGGAACCGAATCAGCTCCCTTGCCGAGGAGGAAGTGGTTTATGCCAACATATTTCTGAAGTTTACATACATTTCATGAAAGGATGGATGGGCAGGTGGGTAAAGGTGGAGGGAGAGGGGAAGTAGTAGTAGGAAGGAAGAAGAGAGAGAGAGAGAGAGAGAAAGGAAGGAAGGCAAGAGAGAGAAAGAAAAAGAAAGGAAGGAAGGAAAAGAGAGAGAAAGGAGAGAGGGAGGGAGGGAGGGAGGGAGGGAGGGAGGGAGGGAGGAAGGAAGGAAGGAAGGAAGGAAGGAAGGCTTCAAAGGTTCCTTCCTTCCTTCCCTCCCTCCTTCTTTCTCATTCATTTTTGGAATATCCATCCATCCATTCATCCTCTCTTGGAATTAATTTTCCTTCCTTCCTTCCAAGAAGGAAGGAAGGAAGGAAGGAAGGAAGGAAGGAAGGAAGGAAGGAAGGAAGGAAGGAAGGAAGGAAGGAAGGAAGGAAGGAAGGAAGGAACGAAGGAAGGAAGGAAGGAACGAAGGAAGGAAGGAACGAAGGAAGATGAGAGAAGGAAGGAAAGAAGGCTCAATGATGGATGGATAGATGAATGGACGGATGGACAGATGGACAGACAGACAGTCTTGCGGATTTTCTACCCTTTTCCCAAACTCAAATCCTTCCAAGATCCAACTGTCCAATCCACACACACACACACACACCCTTCCCAGGTGCTGGAGGGCAACTGCCTCTCCCAGGTCAATGAAGCCCTGAAGAACACCAACCCCTTCAGGTAGCCCACAGGAGAGAAGACCCATCATCTCCCTGCTGCTCTTTGTCACCGTGGCTCCGAGGTTCAAAGCAGAGCCTGTCTCCCATCAGGAGGGAGGAAGGATTACCGGTTGAGGAGCAGATCCAGGACCTGCTTGGTGGTGGCAAAGGCCCGGTAGGTGCAGAGGAAGATGGTCACGTAGGTGGAATCGTTGCCTTTGAACGCCGAGACCAGGTATTCCACCAGCTTCTCCAGGGTGCCGGCCTTGATCGTCCGCACTTTGCACGTCTCGTAGAGGTTTAAGGCTGACTCGTTCTCAAACTGCAAAAGGGGACAATCATGAGGAGGGGGGTTCCAAGGGCCGCGAGACGGAAGCCTTAAAACCAAGGACGTTACACAGGTACGCCTCAAATTACAACCGTTTGAAGTTACAACCACGCTGAGAGAATTGACCTGGGACTTGTCCTCGCACTTACGACCGTCACAGCGTCCCCATGTGAACGCCATTTGTAACCGTCCCCCCCACCGGCTTCCGACAAGCAAAGTCAACGCGGGAAGGCGGACTCGCTTTTAACGTCCGCACGATTCGCTTAACGACCGTGGCAAAAAAGAGAGAGAGAAAAAGGTCGTAAAATCTGACGCGGCTCCCTTAACAATCCGCCTTGTTCGGCAATGGAAATTCCGGTTCCAGTTGTAAGTCGAGGACTACCTGCAAGGCACACTTTGGTCCTACTCTGCAGGGCAGGGAGTGTGTTTAAACTGCCGGAGAGCCGTGCCAAAATCAAAGCAACGCCTTCGTTCTGACTCTCTGCCAACCCTATATTTTCTCAGCTGTGCTTGCATAGTTTGAGAAGAGAAAAACAACAAGCTCTTAATCTTTTCGGTCTCGTCAATATTCAAAATATTTGCCCCGGCTTCGCAGACGCCACCCCTCCGTTCCCTTACAAAGGGAGAGGCTGAACACCCAGCTTGGATGTTACCCTCCTTCCAGGGCAAAAGCCTCCATGAGGGACGGCCTGTTTTCCGCCGCCATTTGGGTAATAGCAGGAAGAACAGAGTTGGAAGGGACCTTGGAGGTCTTCTAGTCCAACCCCCTGCTCAGGCAGGAACCCCTATAAGCCATAGGTCCAGCTTATCAGCAGTAAAAGGAACAGGCTTCTAGTCCTCAAGACTGGAGAACGGGGGAAATCCAAATAAAATCCCTAGGAGCAGTGTTTTATCCATCCTCAATGGGGGCGCCATGGCTCAGCGGTTAAAGAGGCTGAGCTTGTCAGCTGGGAGCCCGGGTTCGAGAACTGAGTGCCGCGCGGTGGGGTGAGTTTCCGTTCCTTGCTCCAGCTCCTGCCCTAGCAGTTTGAAAGGATGCAACTGCGAGTAGATAAATAGGTATCACTTCACTGGGAAGATCACAGCCTTCTGTGTGCCTTTTGGGTATAGCCACGCTGGCCACGAGCACGGGAATTGTCTTCGGACAACGCTGGCTGTCTTGGCCAAGAAACGGAGGTAGGCACTACTCCTCGGAGTAGGACACAACCGGACAAGGAAAACTTTTACGTTAACCTTGCTTTCCCATAGCTCCTTTCCACCACGAGTAAAGGGAGCGATTTTTTTCCTTTTGTATCCATACAGGGAATTGGGCTTCCCTAGTATACGTGTTTAACTTTATTATTACTAATAGTATTAGCATTAGTGCATGCAGTCCTCATTTAGCGACCACAAAGGGGACCGGCAACTTGGTCATTAAGCGAAGTGATCCCTAAGCGAAGCCACAAAGTAATTTTCCCTTTGCTTTACAGACGTGGGAAATGCGAAGACTCGTGGCCAAGTTACTTTGCCGTCGCTGCGAATGGTCGCTAAATGAGGCCGTCGCGAACCGAGGACCCCCTGTATGATTATTACTGACTCCCATCCAAAGGGAACAATCCCAGCCTTATGGAAATACACAGAATAACCAAAGGGCAGGGGGTAACGGTATTCCGTGTCTGTGGAAAGATCCAATCCCCCCCCCACCTGTTTCTTACCACACCCCTGTAAGGTAGGCTGGTGTTCTCATACCCCAGATAAGGAACTTACCCCCAGCCACCGCTGGCCTTTGTTAGCTGTGTGATGGAGCTGAACTTTCCGGAGAGAAATACTGTAGATCACACCATCTTCAAACTCTTCTCCGATCTCCTGAGTTGAGCTCTGGAACGAGAAACGGCAGGAAAATTGTAAATCGAGGACTATCTGTGGGATCTCCAGGTTTGGGTTAAGATGGGGTGTCCCAAATTGCACAAATATGCCAACCCAAACATGGAGCAAAAGCGATTAAAAACGCAGCGGAGTATCTTTTTCCCCCTGGTGGTTTCTGAAATTGTGCAATTGTGGGGTTTTTTTTTCTTCCTTTCTTTTTTCCCCCCTCCTTCTTCCAAGCATTTAAATGTATCTCATTTCTCTTTCTTCCTCAATAGGGGCATTCTGCTTATTAAGCAGTTAAAACTCAGCTCTGGATTTCACAGAAAACTCAACACACACAAAGAGTTTGTTTCGTTTATTAAACCTTATACGCTGCTCATCTCGCCTAGAGACCGCGTTCTTTACCTCGGGGACATCGGGGGCAGCCTGCAACTCTACCTTTGCTGCAGGGGGAGGAGGATGGGAACTGTAGTCCCCAGTTAGGAGAGAAACACAACTGATCCTGAACAGGATTAGCTCCCGATCGGACGTTGCCATCCGGACTCTGCCACAGCTAGTGCCCTCTATACATGGGTTGGGACTACAATCCCCATCATCCTCAATAGGGCAGACTGATTCTAGGAACGCTTGTCCATCCGGGCTTTGATAGTAGCCGTTCTAACCGAAGGCAGACCGAATTAAAAGATAGAATTATTGAACCCCTTGCAAATTTAAGTGGGTTCCTTGTGATTCAAATCTTCCTGAAGCGGTTTAGGGCACACACACACAAAAAAAGAGTCGAAATGGCCCCCCTTTTGGTTAAATTCAGCTTTGGAAGGTTGTCGTGTCCTCCTGTTTACTGGGAAGTGGAATGGGGTGGCCCAGCTCAGATGGCCCAGCAATCGAGTGGGACTCACACACACACACACACACAACCGGTCATGTCATGTCATGCCAAACAGGGACAACAACGGACAAAAACACCAGCCCCACAACAAAGGAGAAAGAATCTAACGTGAATGTGTCAGAGCTGTCAGCATCACGAGAATGCTTTTCATTCCTTTGTTGATCTAACTTGGGTCATGCCTCCTTTGGTGCTGGGGGGGGCGGACTAGGTATGATCTCAAATGGGCCCTGACACCTGAGATTTAGCCAAATTTCTGGATCACTGTGAGTCCCCCCCCCAAAAAAAATCATCTTTTTATCCTAGCTTATTAGGATAATATGTTTCTGTTCTTTTTCTTTCTTCTTTCTTTCTTTCTTTCTCTTTCCCTGCCTTCCATCCCTCCCTTTCTTGTTTCTCCCTCCCTCCCTTTCCTCAAATCACTCAGAATATTTTCTATACCATCCTTCCTTTCCTTCCTTCCCTCCTTCTCTTTTGCCTTTTTCTCTCCCTTCTTTTCCCCTTTCCTTCCTTCCTTCCTTCCTTCCTTCCCTCCTTCTCTTTTGCCTTTTCCCTCCCTCCCTCTCCCTTTTCCCCTTTTCCTTCTTCCTTCCTTCCTTCCTTCCCTTTTTCCCTCCCTCCTTTTCCCCTTTCCTTCCTTCCTTCCTTCCTTCCTTCCTCCCTTCCCTTCCCTCCTTCTCTTTTGCCTTTTCCCTCCCTCCCCACTTTTCCCTCTTTTCCTTCTTCCTTCCCTTCCTTCCATTTTTTCTTTCTTTCTTCCAATGCGGAATTTGGGCCAGGGAAAACACACTATTTTGCTTAACGGCCTGCAAACCTCTGAGGAGCTTTCCACGTCCCTGAACCAAGTCCGCCTGTGCTTCACAGAGGCACCCAGTCCACAAGAAAAGCCATCCGCATTCTTTGCCTCACAATCAAAAGCCAGGATCTCATATTACTTTCCCTCCCACTGTCCCCGTTGCTACTAGATAACGCTGGAAAGCACTGCATAAAAGTACAATTTCCACCGACCAAAGGACGGGTTCGACATACTAATTCCTGTTTGAAAGCCACTGAAATTCCTTTTGTATGATTAAAAGCCTGACGCTGTGTTGCAGAAGAAATGCTGTTTTCTAAACCGCTCGAATTAAACATTCCTGCAGAGATCACATTCCAACACAAGCTGCCTCAAGTACAGAAAAAGATAACCCCAAGTCCTTCCTTCCTTCCTTCCTTCCTTCCTTCCTTCCTTCCTTCCTTCCTTCCTTCCTTCCTTCCTTCCTTCCTTCCACAATTGCAGCAAGATCATGTGAACTTTATCCTTTATCCTGCTTTGGTAAGACCATACTTGGTCCAGTTCTGGTCACCATGATATAAAAAAGATGTTGAGACCCTGGAAAGAGTGCAGAGAAGAGCAACAAAGATGATCAGGGGGCAGGAGGCAAAAACATACAAAGAATGATTGCAGGAATTGGGTATGTCTACTCTGGTGAAAAGAAGGGCTAGGGTTGACATGATGGTGGTCTTGCAATCGTTGAGGGGCTGCCCCAAAGAAGAGGGGGTCTACCTCTTCTCCAAAGCACCTGAAGACACAACAGATGGAAACTAATGAAGGAGAGAAGCAACCTAGAACTAAGGAGGAATTTCCTGACAGTGAGAATAATTCATCAGTGGAACTCCTTGCCTCCAGAAGTTGTGGATGCTCCATCACTGGAGGCTTTTAAGAAGAGACTGGGCAGCCATTTGTCTCAAATGATATAGGGTGTCCTGCCCGAGCAGGGGGTTGGACTAGAAGACCTCCGAGGTCTCTTCCCGCCCTGGGATTCTAGTGTAATTCTACACCATTCCTTTGCGGGCAAAAACCTCCACACCTCTTTCTTCGCACAAATCTGTCTGAAATCTCCTTCAGCCAAAACATCTGTGGATCCCCACGTTGATCACAACTCAAGCCATCTCAGGACTACCCAAGAATTACCCCAGTGACAGTAAAATAAAGTCATCATTTCGGCTTCTCAGCCCTCTACGTCCTGCCTCTAATTCAATTTCTCCCGAGTTTTCAGCCCGTTCCTGGAAACGGTTGCCTACAAAGACGCCAACGTCTGCAGAAGTGTAGTTTTTTTTCTCTTTTTTTTTTAACAGCAGAAACAAAGTGCCAACTCCTGGAACAAGAGTTGGGGGGGGGGTGTCGTTTGCACCCAGCCGACGGGGAAAAAGATGACGATTTACGCCTTGGTGATTCGAAAAGGACACCGCAAGCCTTATCAAGAAAGGGTGAATCAGGAATGGAAACCTGACATCGCAGATTCGGCGAGAGGCTCACGAGGCTGTGACGGCCGGAAGGAGGAATGCCCGAGTTTGCTGAGTGCGTGCCCTCAATTTCCTTCCCCTTTTTTTTTTCCCCCCAAAAAGCTGATTCAGTTTCACGGCGAAGGCTATCTGGGGAGAGAGTTCTCGGCGTCGGCACCCCAGGCTGAAGAAGGAGTTTGGAGAAGCTGACACAGATTCAGGGCCTGGCACGTGACGGGGCTGACTGACCTCTGGATCACACCGGGCATGCTGGTTTTGGTGCCCGCTCAAGTGGCTCCTTTTCCTGTTTCTGCCGAGTTGGTCCGTGCCGGCGTTGTAACTTGGGACAGTCACTAAATGAAACGGAGACGAACTGTACATCTTTGAGGCAGGATCTGCAGATCGCCTTGCAGCGCAGAAGCCATCAATATATAAAAATAATTTTTCTTAAGTGCTTCTTTGGCCGCGGAGAGCCATCGCATTTTGTAATGGGATTCTGATGACTCAGGCCCACGATGACACAGGCTAATGGACGGAGGGGCCCGCAATTCTGCCCAGAAGTTATTTAAAACCACCCCACCACCTCGCCTCTTACCTGCTTAATATCTAAATTTTGGCAGGACGGACGGACGGGTGGATGGATGCTGAGAGATCTGCAGCCAAAAACCCCTGACTGACAGACTGAATTGCGAGAGGCCGGCGGCTGTGCGGAGGGGATGATGGGGCTGGCTTTTTGCCGCATAAAGCCGGAGGCTCAGCTTTCTCACCTCGCCGGAAAAAATTTGCTGGGCCACTTCGGGCACGCTCCGTGGGGTCCTGCCTAGCCTACCTGGCAGGGTGGTTGTTAGCGCGGAATGAGAAAAGGGAGAACGTCCTGTAAATGCCAACGGGACCGTTGCCAAGCGTCCGAATGTAAATCACGTGACCCTGGGGAAGGCTGCGACGGTCGTTAAGCAGGGGAGCCGGTTGCAAGTCCCTTTTTTTCAGTGCCCTTGGAACGGCCGCTCAAACGAAAGTTGAGGAGTTTTCGAACTCAGAGCTTGCCATAAGAGCGCACCACCTCCTCCTGCGCGCGCAGAAAACGCAAGCAAAACATGTCTCAGTATTTTGGGAGAGAAAGAGAGAGAGAAGAGCGGCGGTGGCGGGGTGTGTGTGTAGATTTGCCTAAAGAGAAGTCTCCAAATGAATCACGGTTTCCTCTTATTCAACCACCTTCCGTTCCTGTTATATAATTGTGCTCTTTTGTTTGGTGTTACTCCGGCTACGGTATTTTTAGGTCCCTTCACAACGCGCTCGAGGCACACAAACTCAGTAAGAGTAGCGGAAACCGTGCAAGGGGCTTATTTGTAAGCTTCTGCAGCTGCTCATTCCCCTCCCCGTCAGGTCTGCAATTTCAAAGGCTAAGATCTTCAGCCTTGAGGGCTAGAAGCTTTGTTGTTGTTTTTTTTTTAAAAAAAAAACAACACCCAACGCCAGGCGGACAAGATCATATCCATGTCTAATTGCACGAAAGAGAGAAGAGGATTCTCGCGAGGTTAGAAACCATCAAGGCAAGCGGTTCAACATGATGGGCTTTGCAGTCCTACATGCCTCGTGATTCTCCGATTGCAAAAAACAAACAAACCCATATCTTATATTTCAAATTATTATTATTATTATTATGGCTGGTCACAAAGTCAGTGAGATGTTTTGGCTGGATATAGCATTCTGTGTTCCCCTACTGAGTCCTTCCCGAGGACCTGGGACGGACCGATGTTGTTTAATAAAGTTAAAGCCGTTTGTATTATTTATTATTATTATTATTATTACTCAGTGGCCTTTAAGATCATTTCAGTCCTTTGCATTTGCTTCTGGGAAAGATTGAAGGAAGAAGCAAGAGTTTCCTGCCTGGAACAAAATGAAAATAAAAGAAATATATTTGTCCAGCTGTTCAACGCAACTCTTTTGG